GGGGGGTGGGGGGATGGTGTCTTGCGGGGGTGGACAGGGGCCCAGAAGGTGTGCTGGAAGGAGGCTGGGGCAGGGGTCCTATCTGACCAGCCTCTCACCCTGACCACCACAGGAAACCTCATTCGGAAGCTCCCGAGGAAGACCGCGGTGCGCGTGGGTGACACGGCCATGTTTTGTGTGGAGCTGGCCAGGCCCGAGGGCCCTGTCCACTGGCTGAGGAACCAGGAGGAGATGGTAGCTGGGGGCCGCGTGGCCATCACCACAGAAGGCATGTGCCACACGCTGACCATCTCCCAGTGCAGCCTGGAAGACGTGGGCGAGGTGACCTTCACTGCTGGTGACTGCCGGACGTCCACCCAGTTCTTCGTGTCTGGTAAGGGCCTGGGGAGTGCCCTTGAATGGACAGTGCCCTTTGCCTCCTTCATCCATGGGGCCCTGCTGTGCTCTCCAGCCCGCTGCACGGAGGGCTTTGGGGGACTGAACCAATGGGTCATAGCTTCAGTTTCCTGGGGCCCTTGGTTTGTTTGCGCCCTTCTTCACCGTGATCACCCCAGGTGACTGTGAGGTAGCAGTCCTGGTGGCCTCCCCACTCTGTGAACCAAATTAGAAGGTAGGGATTGTTGTGGGTGGCATGGGGTGGGTGTGGGATGTCAGGTATAGGCGTGTCCTCTTTCTGTGACCTTTGGTATCCCATTTGTAGATTGGGTGGTAGGTCCCTCTCCCCACCCACACCCATTGGTCAGCCCTTGGTTGGGGTAGGAATGTGTCCCTGCACACAGGTCTGAGCACCCTCAGAGTGGTCACTGCACCTGCTTTGGTCACTGGTTAGCCTAAGACCTGCAGAAACGGATAAGCCTGGTCCCCAGGCCACGTGCACAGTTTGAGTGGCCTGAAGCCGGAACACTCTTCCCACTGCAACCAAAGAAATGGCCACAGGGCTGGGACAGGGGTGGCGGGCCCACGCCCTCCCTGGGCCCAGCATCTCCTTGTGTCATGGCCATTCCCAGATCATGAAAGTAGCTCCCCCAGCAGGGTGGGGTTCTGTGACACCTTGAAGGGCTGAGCTTGGACCCAGGGCTTTGGGAGGGAACTGCCAGTCAGTGATATTGACTGTGCTCTCTCCAGCCCCTAGGAGGCCGCCCCTGCATGCCCCTGAGGCCCCTGTGGTAAAGGGAAGGACAGAGTGTTCCGTCACCCTTGCCTGGTCCCCACCACCCCATGGGGACCACCCTGTCCCCATCAACGGTTATCTGGTGGAAAAGAAGCGGCTTGGCGCCTACACCTGGAGCCGGTGCCACGAGGCGGAGTTGGTGGCTGAACGTGAGCTGACTGTGGCCAGCGTGGCTGAGGAGGGGGACTTCCAGTTCCGGGTATCAGCTGTGAACAGCTTTGGCCAGAGCCCCTACCTGGAGTTTCCAGGGACTGTCCACCTGGGTAAGTGAGGAAGGCTCCTGGAGCCTGTCCCGAGGGCTTCCTGGGGGAGGGGGAACTTGGGCTCTGGAGGGGGAGCAGAGGAGGGCAGAGGCCGGCCCCTTCCTAAGGCCCTCACTCTGCAGCCCCCCAGCTGGCTGTGAAGACTCCTCTGAAGGCGGTGGAGGCGGTGGAGGGTGGCGAGGTGACCTTCTCGGTGGACCTCACTCTGGCCTCTGCTGGAGAGTGGTTCCTGGATGGCCAGGCCCTAAAGGCCAGCAGTGTGTATGTGATCCGTCACGATGGCACGCAGCATGCCCTCACCATCCGCTCCGTGTCCGCCAGCCTGCATGGCTCTGAGCTCAAGTTCGTGGCCAACGGAATTGAGAACAGCATCCGTATGGAGGTCCGAGGTAGGGGGACCCCAGCTGTGACCCCCCAGGCCTCTTCCCTAGGGGCAGGGTGGGCTCCCAGGTGGTCTCCTGGATGTGGCAGGCAGGGGAGGGGCGTGTGGCTGTGACCCCCCTAGGCATCTTCCCTAGGGCCAGGTGGGCTCTGGGTGGTCTCCTGGATGTGGTGGGCAGGACAGAGGAGGGGGGTGTGAGGCAGCTTGCCCAGGGCTGGGGGCGGCCTCGGCCTCAGCGTGAGTGGAGGAGGAGCTGCAGGACCTCACTTCTGCATCTGTCTGCTCCCTGCAATCTTGTCTCTTCCTCTTTTTTTCTGTCTGTTCTCCCATACCCCACCCCCCACTGTGTCTACTCTTTACTGTCTCATTCTCTTGCCCATACATCCTCTCTGTCCGCTTTCTCTGTCCACTCTCCTCTGCCCCCTCCCCATCCCTGTCCATCTCCTCTGTCCCCCTCC